CCCCCAAAAAAAAAAAAAAACAGCCCAAAAAAGAAGTGCCTTGCCTCGTGCTCTTCGAGGTCCTTCCGGGTCTTGCTGACCGCCTCATCACCAGAGGCGTCTGCAGATTCGCAGATCTCTGCCCTCCCTGCCTGGTTCCTAAGCAAGCTCGTGGAACCACGGCAACTTGATCCAAACAATCGAAAACATCATCATGTTGTAGTATGTGTATGATGTTGCAGATTATACATTATACATTATAGTTGATTGTATGTGTGTTTTAAACATGAATACCTGTAGCATACTACGTCACATTATACAAGCGAGCGCTCCTCCTCCGCTGCTTCGTGTGCGGCCTCCTTGACCCTCCGCGCCGCCTCTGCCTGCTGCAGCTCCTGTGCTTTGATCCCAGGAAATAACTTAACCTGGTTTAGGGTTTAGGGGTTTACGCTCTCACGACTCGGACATGCCAGGCGAGGTTCACGCCGACTAGGGTTTAGGGGTTTAGGGATTCACACTGGCATGGAATGCCAAGTTGTCAAGTGTTTGTGTCCCTCCCCCATCAGACTCACGGACTGCCGCACGGCCGTCACCTTGTCGAGTGCGAGTAGAGCGCTACACGCATCATTGTGATATCCACATCTCCGTACAACTTAGTGGTGTGCTTATGTTAATCCAAAAGCAGAAGACTGTCCCATCAGTCTCCAACCCAGCTAGGAAGGTCGATTGATCTCCGGGGATGTTACGAGTCTAGCTGTGGTTTGCGGGTCCTCGGCCCTGGAACGAGCATCGCTGGCACAACTGTCGACGACCTGTCGCGTGGCGCTGCCACAACCCTGTTCACGAACCTGCCGCTCATTGTTGTCCACGCACTCCGAGCATTTGTCTACTCTGCTGACAATCCAGTCCGGGTGCAGCAAACTTAAGTCTGCGAGCCCCTGCAAAGCATCACTACACGCTCCAAGGCCCTGCAGCCCGCCTTCTGACATCGCTGCACCTCGCTGCGGCACGTCTCTGACAGATGTCGCCCTCGGATGCATGAGGCCGGCGGACTTCCTTTGGTCTTGGCAACTTGAGTTGAGATCGTCCAGCTGCAGCGCTGGGCAAACTAGCAGTTACATCCCCTCTCAAACTGGTCCGAAGCTTAGCTTTGGTGCCCCGATCTTCAAGTCTTCCGAGGCGTGGCTTCCGAACCGACTCCTCGCGCCCCCGAACTAGCACAAATCTTCAGTTCTTGCCATCTCTTCCACACACAAGGATCCTAGGTTCCTGAAGGGCCCTAGAAGGACCTTCCAGAAAACCTGGTTATGGTGATTCTCGTGTCTGTGTGCTTTGCTGGTCCTGGGCACCTTCTTGCAATAAGGTCCACATCGTGCAAGGCACGATGGACGTTCGGACAGGGTCTACTTTTGCTGCTGCACCGCTGAGGTCCCAGCTTCCCTTGAGCTGTGCGGCCAGTGTTTCCTGTCAAGTCGAGTGTGCATCGCTCGGGATTCCCCTTCTTTCACGAATTTCAGAGTTGCAACATCTGGTCCTGGATCAAGGTCAGGACTTTCTTGTCCTTTGCGGTGTGCTTGGCCTTCTTCTTGACCATGATCTCAGGTAACCTCAATCTTCCAGTGGCTCTTCGAAACTGTGATGGGTTGGACTATCGAGTTGCGACCCTCAAACTCGAAAACGCCGTACCCCAAGTTGGGCAGGAACAGGAAGTTTGCATCATCATAACACCATCTCTGTTCTCACGGCTTGTACTGTTGCAAGTAGTGTGGCATGGGTACTGCTGCTGACAGTTGTCAGTCGTGGCTGAGCATTGTTAAACATCGCTCTTCTGCCCTGCCCGGGGTCTTTGGACCTTTGGAGCTCAAGAACAGAGTCCGGTGGTCAGCGAGTGTACTGCCAAATACCGACCAGCACAGCAAGCGAGCAGGACATTCTACGGAACTGCACATTATCGGATTACCCCCCCCCCCCCGGCTTTGCAATCGGAGCCACCATTAAGCTTTGTCCCAAGTGGCCCCTGGAGCTGTGCCTCGTCAAGTCCATACGGTTTCAAAGCCGTCCGAAGGGCCTGTGCGACTTTCGAAGGGTTGCAAGACTAAGAGCCTACATGAGCTTACAGGCTTGCAGGGTTGATCTGTGTTTGAGGTTCGGCTTGCTTGCTTCCGACCATTCCCCGGTCGGCATCACCACCAAAGGATAGCACAACTTGATTCGGCGTTCAAGCTGAGAATGTGGGCAAGTACGCATATGCTCCCTCACATTCGGCCTTGAGCTCGTGCACCTAAGTAGGTCGTTCTGCTAATCAGCTAATAAAACAGACGTGCGGCCAGCGCAGACATTATAACATGTATTCCCCTCTCCCCCACCCCATCGGCACCCCGAAACTGCCTTGATCTTGGTCTTGGCCTTGTCGCACGGATTTTCGAAAAGCTCCTCACTTGGTGTGGGTACCGAATTTGGCCGGAGGTTCTAGAGTCCAGAATCCTGCAGGTGTGCAAGCGGGCCTATCGCCAGCATTATATTATCACACACGAGCCACCTGCACAATGTCCTCATAACAACTATAAACACTATAACAACCATGATTCATACTGGCAACAACACCTTGCGGCTCCTCGAAGCTCTGCTTCACTCTCTGAACTTTGCCGACCTCCTCGTCCTTACTCGGCACGGAACGCGGACCGCACGTTGCGCTTGGACCACAGTTGGGTCCTTCTTCAAAACGACGCACGGCGAACAGCTGCCAAAACTTATCAAGAAAGAACCCACAGACATTAATAGAACACGCTTGCTTCCACCCATCGAGACTGACCATGTCTTGTCACTGTAGTCTTTGCACTGTGCAATCGTTCAGCAGCTTACACTGCGAGCACACCCTTCCAGGCTGCTTCTCCCATCTAGGCCCTCGAACGTGGCGGAGACAAGCAGTGGATAAGCATTTCGGTCGGTGGGAAAGGGTTTAGGCTTCTGTTCTTCAGGGGTGAAGCCGTAAGATGCCTAAACCCAACGACGGCATTAAGCCCAGTGCATCCCAATCTGCCCCAGCCGTGCTGCCTTTATCCTTCATTCTAGCAGCTTAGAGGTTGCGAGCCGGGCTGCGCAAGCCTTCAAGGCATCCTGGGCCTTTGCGACGGCCTCTTCTGCCTGGCCATAGACATCTTCATAGGGTTCGGGTATTTTAAATAAAGGATGAGGGTGGCAGAGATTGCGGCGTCCGTAGCCACGCCCCCAGCACTTGGACCCTTTCAAAGCCTAAACCCTTTTTTTTTCCACGGGCTTGAACTGAGCTCGCTCGGCCAAGCCCTAAACCCTAAATCCCAAATCCTTCTCTAACGACCCATGTGCCTTCTGAGTCACTGGCTTTGCGGCCTGGGCCCTGCTCTCCATCTGCACGACAAAGGCTTTGTGTGCCTGCAGGGGTTCATGCTTGGTTTCACCACCCAAAATACATGCCCAGCACTGCAAGATTCAGGGAGAGGAGAAAGAACATGCGCAACGCAAACACCGGAGCTCAAGCACTGGCTGGAGGACATCCTCACTATGTGTATGGACTTTATAGATCTGCCGTGTCATGGAGGCCTCCACGGCCTCCGCCTCTTCGGCCTTTGTTCGAAGTAGAGCCGCTGCCGCGTCTGCCAGTGCCCTCCGCAGCTCGTGCTGCTGGGCCTCTCGGACTTTTTGAGCAGCACACTAATCTCTTGTATGCTCTTGGTCGTTATGAGTGCAGAATCGGAGCTAAGGCTTTTGCCCCATTGGTAGCAACAGATCACACGCTGGCGTCGTTTGTTCGCGGCCCCTACACACTGTAAACGATGCACTGTCGACGCCAGCCGTAGCATTTTCACAGGGGAGGTCGTGCAGACGAGTTCGCAAGCTGAACGCTGGAACCGGCCGGCTAATCAACCGTCTCAGCTGGAACAGCAGCAACGATAGTACTGCACAGAGCATAAACTTTGCAGGGCACCCGTCGGCACACCTCCGCTGTCTCGGCCGGGAACGTGTTCTCCACACGGAACTGGCCACCCTCTACAACCTCAGATCCAATGCTCGCTTGAACACAACGAACTCTGTTCGGTACTTGCTGACTGAAGAAGCCCTCTCCAAAGCACACCACATCGCCGCGGAACGAGAACGACTGTGCTGGAAGAGCTCGAGGTGGCTGCGCTGGCAACCTTCAGCACAGGAAGCGGCTAGATGATACAGTATCCATCAGCAACCCCATTCCGATTCTGCGCATCTCTTGCTGGGATACGGCCGCTACTCTCACAACTCGGACAAGCCAGGCGAGGCATGGGGGGCTTAACGAAAAGGGTTTTAGGGTTTTGAGGACTCAATAAGTACGTTAGGTAGCAAGTATAGAGTTGTACGTGTCCGAAAGGCTTTTTCGATGGATCCCGAACACGGCCTGAGGTGGTGCACTTGAGTCTGCTGGGGCAGATTGGCTTGAGCTCGTGCTCTTCTTCGAGGCCTCCGCCTCAGGATGCATTGTTTTGAAGTCTCAAATCAAAGTTCGGAAAATGCGGGATGGGTTAAGAGCCAACAAGGTCTGGAGTGTCAGTACCAAGTCAGAAGAACACTCCGGCAAAGCGATGCGGAATGCGCCTCTGCCATGGGCACGTCAGCCGGCGGTGGTAGGCTTACCTCCACACTTCACAGCCGCGCCACTCCCTCCCTCTCGCGCTGCGGGACGTCAGAGGCAGGCACGCTGTCGCTCTGAAACACAGGGAAGCCGCATCTTTCCGAGGGTCCGAAGCCCAACTGCCGGGTCGTCAACCCCAAGCTTCAACTACTTTGGCGCAGTTCGGGGGTTCATGGACGTATTCAGGAAGGCCTTGACCGGAGACGGTGGGCGAACCTTCTCTGCGGCTTCCTCTGCCGCTTCCTGCAAAGGAGGACCTCTGCTCGACGCGATGACTTTAGCCGCACATCATGGTTGGCTCTAGCACCGTGAAAGACCCGAAGAACCTAAAGGCTCCTTCCTGTGCATCACACGCTGGAAGCTAGCCGAAACAGTGAACCTTGCGCTCGGGGCGTGAATCCTTAAACCAAGCACGGCACATGCTCTGAACATGCTCCCTATATTTTGCAAGTGAGAATCCCGTTGCAGCGCTCTGATCGGCTTCTGGCAGGCCAGCACTGGCCTGAAGCGAAGTCTCAGGTCGCGTCAACCACACGTCCCGTCCCACTGCCCTGATCTTACGAAAAGCTGCATATGCTGCATCATGAGGGCTGCAGGTTTTCACCTCCTGAACGAACAGCCGAACACAAGGCAATAAATCCATCATCCAGACGTGTCTGGCAAGGAAAAGCAGGAAAAGCGAGCTAGCTTCGACGAGCATGCCAGGATCTGGGTCGATGACGGAAGCCCAACAAACCCGAAACCCAAACCAGGTCCCTCCCTATATACCCCCCATCCTACCCAGAAACGAATCGAGCTCCAAGACGTCATGAGACTGGAAACAGGGATCTGGACACGCCTGGGCCGCCAAGACTTCAGCGTCCGGCTGCGACTGCTGTGTCGTCGCGGCTGAAGCCTGCGAGTCCTCCAAAGATGTCGGAATCAGCCCAGCCCTGCGATGACTGGTGTCTACAGCCCTGAATCGTCTTGGGTGGCAACAGTCAGACCGCCTCAGCCCTGATTGAGGAAGGCAACTGCCCTCTTGGGGACGACTGGGCTCTCACTTCCCACCGAACACCCTGACTTGGCGCACCTCTGTCGGCTCCGTCTTGGGCCGCTTCCTCAGCTGCCGATGCAGCAGAGCTGAGGGGCTTGAGAGTAGGATCCGGGGTTTAATTTTGGGATGCTACTCTGCTACTTGTACGTAACAGTTCAGTATGGGAGCGGGTGCTCCGTGCACTTTGCAAGCACTGGGAGCGTATAGATTCAGTCCAAACGACTTCAATAGCCTGCCTACATCGAGCCGCTTTGTTCTGACGGGTGGGCAGCCGTTGCTTCTGTGCATCTGCCAGTCAGGCATGATCGAGCGAAACTCGCATTGAACAAGCGAAACGAATGGAAGCAAGACGCTTGCTTCTTTTGCAGAGGCAGAATGACTGGCCTACAGCACCACCAGATGTGTGGGCAAAGAGCACTTCGTATCCTTCTTGCTCCAGGTGCTTCTCCAAGGCCTCTACCATGTCCTGTGGGCAGGAAACACATTCTCGCAGCAAGCCGACTTTACTGGTACAGTTCATGAGGGGAAGCTCCAGCTTCACGCGTGCAAAACAGAGACCAAGCAGCCCGGCCCACACAACTCGTCAATCGACTCCAAGCTTTGCGTCCTGTTTGGTCTCTCGGATTGAGATGCCCAGCTGCTCGCACAGGCTGCGCAGCTTGAACACAAGGAGGTTCTCCTGGAACCGTGCTTCCTGTTTCCTCTCCGGGTTCCACCACCCATGCTTACTGACATATTGAGGGTGCTAATTAGTCGTCTCAGCCCGTTTGAACCTTCCGAGCCTGCGAAAATGTGATGGAATGGATGCATGCTCAAAGGCAAAGCAGCATTCACAACTGCAGTCATTCGCGGACAAATCTAACAGCAGGCTAGCGTTGTGCCTACCAACCGATGTCTCATGATGTCTCTATTTCACACCGAGTTGTGGAGCTTGAGGATCCCTTGCATTGAAAGACGCTCACCCAAGACCACTAATCCACATGTTCCGAGCACTCGAGACCAGGACCAGCTCTGCAAACTCTAATTCATTATGTTCTTTTGTCTGGAACATGCTGGGTCCTGCTCGGTCGCAAAACATGCAAAACCTCGTGTTTGGCGGAGACGTCCGTCCTCTTGGCTCCGCCTCCGCTTTGCCTCGTCTCCCGCCTGGCGCTGAGCCTCGCGACAAGACTGGGTCTCGAGTTCGCGATTTTTTCAAGTTCACGTGAACGTCTCAGCATTGTCGGGAATCCTGCAAGCTTTCGCGATGTGTTCACAAAGAGCGGCTGTTCGTGTTAGGCACCTCAACCAATGTAAAGACACCCATGGCTCAACCCGCAGGAGCGCCTCGCCCCGAAGGACTTCTTCCTGCAATCCCCGCTCTGCCTGGGCAGGGCTCTCGCCGACTCGTGGCGAAAGGTGAAGGGTTTATCGCCCCTTCGCCTCACATAGGACTGTAGACAGCAGTCCATCAATCTCCACTAACTGTTCATATCCATAGAAGTGTTCATCTCCATTAAGTATTCAGGTCTAAAGGTCATGTGGTCGGCCTCCGCTGCCTCTCCTTGGCACTTTCGGAAGGTCTCCTGCCGCGCTTCGGCCTGGCCGTGGGCTTTGAACTCCCGGAGAATCTCGGAGAATTCTAGCTAATTGTATATTTTTGCGGCGGGTTTTTGCCCTTGGGGTTTGTAGCCCTCGAGCTCCCGAACTCGGTTCTGCAAGCAGAACAGACACAACCCTGAACTAGACAGGCCTCCCGCTTCGCGGTGGCCGCGAGGGCCTCGGCTTCCTCCGCACGGCGCCGGGCCTGCAGAACCGAGCTATCTTCACCTTATAGTTATAGGGTTTGGGGGTATAATATACCATATATAGTTATATATATATATATGCACACACTCTATCTATCTATCTATCTATCTATATATCTATCTATATATATATATATATATAGATTGGTATAATAAATAAAGAACCTCAAAATCGTATAGGTAATTATTGAGGCCCCTATATTCTGCTTCTCTCCGTAGTAATCGTAAGACCCTTACGTCGAAGGCGACTCCAGATCTCGGACATGCGCTCGGACTTTGAAGTTGCAGACTTGGAAAAGGTATAGCTTCCCTGATATCACCTCGTCCCAATCCTGGGAAGGGCGGTCGTGGGTCCACCCAACATATCACCCAAACTCCTAAAATTATGCGGAACGGCGCGAGATGAAGCACCGCAACCCAGAAACTTAAACTCGTAGCCACAGCCCATTTAGTCACTAGGATGTAGGATGTAAAACAACAGCGGTCTCTGTGCGCTTAGTACTTCGAATGTCTCGATGTCATTGTTCAGGAACAATGTAGACAGTAAGGTTATTCATGCTACACAGGGCAATCGACCAGTCAACATCAGTCAACCAAATCAAATCATGTACTTCCAGAGCCCTCTAATCATCGTCCACCACGAAGCCCAACAATGCGCCTGATGCCTTTTCTCACTGTCAAACCCGCCTCGGCCGCGCGCTCAGTGGCTTCGGCGGCGCGCGCCACCGATTCCTCCACCGCAAGCTGCGCAGCAGCAGCAGACCTTAACAGGGCTTTCCGTACTGCTAGAACTCCTTCAGTCAGAATGAGGGGCTGTTGGGATATAGCCAACCAGCCGAGGGATGCAATCGCCAACCATGACTGTCCGCCTTTTGCAGGTCCGGGCCTAAAGTTTAATCCGATGTTTCTCCATTCAGCAGCCGCAGTGAGCCAACTATCTCCAAGGGCTCTGTGACAGGCTATCGCTGGTTCCGAGGAAAAAAGCTGGAGGGTTCTGCCAAGGTTTTTGGTGCGAACCCAATATAACCCAATCACAGAACTTCTGCCTGCCGAAGCCGAAGCATTTCTCATGGTGCGGGAAAGATTCATCACGTCTTGGGTGCACCCTTGTTGCCGTGGTCGTGCCATGCCAATGGGTTAGGTCGGGGAAATAAACATCAGACTTCAATTTCCTTGACCAGGATGACCGTTTGAATGGAAGTTTTTGGCAGCTAGCCATTTTAATTTTTCATTCCGACGATCATGGCCCAGCCGGTGCTCGCTTTCCAGATGATAGTATGTGGGCCGACAAGTGTACGCTTTCTCCGTTTGCATGAAGCCGCCAGTGGCGTTGCTCCACTTCGCCTTGGTGGGCGGCATTTGCAGTGCTCAAGGAGTTTCTTCAAGTGCCGGTGGTGGTGCCAGCTTGGTTCACATGCCAGGTTAATTTAAAGTCACAAATATACCTATATTAAAGCCATGCCAATGTTCACCAGCCTAGTCTGGCGCATTGTCGGTGTGGAGCCTGGCACTGCCACCGAGCCTGGCTGTGGTTGTGAAACCACAGCCTGTAGGATTGGCCGGTGGCTATACGACTCTTTAACTCGCCATGGGGACGGTCAGGGAACTGCTTCCCGTGGAACGTTGGCATTGAATCGGCTAGCATCTTCCACGAAATTCCGCGCACAAATCCTTCTCAAAATGCAAGGATCCGTCACCATTGGCGTTAGCACCTGCTACTAGACGGTCCGCGGACTTCTCGTCCTAATCATCTGGATCCAGCAGCATGTTCAAAGCTCCAACCAATTCGTTCCTGCTGGTAGACCTGTTGCCCTCAGCATCAAATCTTTCCAGCACAGCTTCATGCTCGGGCTTTTTCAGGACCCACGCTGTTGGTGCAACCGCTTGGGCTTGTAAAGTTCCAACCTAGAGCTTGTTTCCAAGCTTGAGATTACTGGGTCCCTGTTGGGGGTATATTAAAATGATCATGTTTAATCCTTATTGGGTTTTATTGTAACGTTTAAAAATGTAAAATTGTATCCAACAAGGACCCAGATTAGTGACCGATGGCATGCTGCCGTCTATATCCAGAGTGAGGCACGCAGCGGCCTTCGCATGGGCAGACTCCCAAGTCTGCAGCTCTTTCTTTGCGGCCTGTCCAATGACTGCTCATTTAGACGGCCGAGTTGCACACAGTAGCTCTTCGGCTCTAGGTTATGGCAATTGACGTCAGGTTCGGCTTGGCAGTTAGGTTGGTTGGGCCAGCTGTGTCGACTCTGTGTCTGGCATTCTTACCTCTGCAGGTGGCCGAAAAGCTTCGTCTAGCTTTGTCTGACGGTCTAGCGCACCTTGTCCGGATTTGACCAGATTAGCAGATTAGCATGCATGTAGGCCACTACTACGAAACGAAACCTTCTCATCCAGGCACGCCCAACGACCTTGAAGACAAACTGGGAAGGCTGAGGCAGGAGCCTCTGCATCCTCTGCCTCTTTCCGGAGGGCAGCCTCCGCTGATTGCGTGTGCAGAAAAGCGGTCTCCACAACTTCCTGCGGGATTTCAAAGGATGGACGGGCGGATGGTATTCAAGGGGGGCCAGGCAGAGATTCAACATTCAACACATTGCCATACCTAGAGACAGCCAGCCAGGCAGCTGTTCTGATGTCTATGTGCTGCAACTTGTGAACTGGGTTGCAAGTGTTCACGGAAGCACCTGCTAGCACCCAAGCGGCAGCGACGACTTGTTTGAGCCTAGCACCTGTAAAGAAGCTGCAGACTGTTCCATCTCTTCAAGCTGGCTGCCACTTCCAGGTGCCGTCCTGCGCCCTCACCCGTGCAGCTGCCAACTCGGCCTTTTCGGGCAGAGAAGTGCGCTTTCTACCAGGTCACAGCCGGTCTTCCATATAGTTGTGCCCCCACAGACCCTGATTAAAGAAACACCTTCAGCCTCCGAGCCCTGAAGCCCTCAACTCCCAGGGTTGTGGGTTATTCCGGGAAGAGGGCAACGTAAAGGCAGACTTTTTAAGGGGTATGCCGGTGTGCCATTCATCGCCAGCCTTTCCGAGCCGCTTCCTGGTCGGCTCGGTGAAAGCCGCTTTGTGACAGATGCGCTTCCTCGGCTCCTCGGGACACGCAACCTCAGTCCACCCTCGTCAATGGCCTGTCCCGAACCAACTACCATAACTACCCTGAATGTCATACAGGACATTGGAAACTGCGGTGTCCCATCTCCCGCCTCCTCCGCAGACTTCTTGGCCTTCCCTTTCGCCTTGGGCGCGGGAGGCTGGCCACGGCGCTTCATCGGCGCAGCTGGGCTCGAAGCTCCAGAGATCGGAAGTCTTGATTTCTTTTGACTGGGGTGGGCATGAGAAAACGAAGTTGGGTGCTGAGGCTCAGCTGAAGAGGATCTGATTCTTTCGGCTGCTTTGTGGGTACACTGGGGATGTGGGCGCCCCGCGTGGTGTCCCGTAGGCTTGTTGCTTGCATTTGGTGCGCTCGATGCTTGTGGCTGCGGACAGGTGCACCCCTTCTGTTTCGAGCTGGGAAGCGGTCCGAAGCATCGCAAACAATCGCAAGTCGTCGAGCATGCTCTTGTCAAGACAGACGTCCTGCTGTTTTCAAGTGACCCTTTCAACTAGACTGGGACCCATGTAGGGCCTGCCATTCAGCTAGCGTGAGATGACGAATGATGACGATTAACTTGGTAATGGAAAGGGGTGCACGACTGGAGGACATCCATTGCCATGCTGGACTCAGAGGTCCTGTAAACTTATAAACTATAAACTAAGCACGCTTGGGCCCTAGACCAGTCCCGACATGCACACAGCTGAGATACCACTTGCTTTTTCGGCCTGGCATCTGAAACGCTTGAGCTTCGTGTCAGCTCTTCCACCAAGCGGTGCATGTGCGAGGTCAAACTCGGATCGCGCATGAGGGGATGACATCTCCGGAAGACCTGCGCAACGGAATCTGCCAGAACCTACGTCTAGAACCGAAGGTCGATGTGACTCCTTCCTACCCATCCCTGACCTCCCCGGAACTTCCTGGAGGCCGGCAGCCAGGGGTCAGCGATGCACCAACACCTGCAAGTTTGCTAGTGTTGCGAAGTCGCTCCGTGTCGAGGGAGGTTGGGCACAGGCACTTCCGACCACGTGAACTCTGTGGGTGTGTAGTACATCTATAGGCCATCCACCCAACACCCCAAAACCCAAAGAAACCCGAACCGACTCTTGGGTTAAGTCTCAAGCGAGCACATGGTGTGAGATGGTGTGATCTGATCACCGAGTCAAAATACCACGGTCCAGTGGCCTGGAAAGCAGGTAGCATAATTGGGGTTGACCCTTTATGGAAACAAGCAAGCGACCGCCAGATTTTCGCCGACAGGCTCAGCCCCGCAATCAAGAGCCCCAAAAACCCAGAAGCTTCATCATTTTGGGGGGAGCAGAGGGAGTGCTTCGTAGCTTCGGCCCGGCTGCGGCAGAATTCTTGCGGAAGCAGCGCCATGGAGTCCCAGTCCGAGAGGCTCATCCTGAGGCTGAGGCTTCTGTCTTCTTGTGTTCCATGGTTTCGGGCTGATCTGCACGGCCCAGAAACTGCGGCAGAAAGCGTAAATCAATCTAAGTTTTGCGCATACAGAAATCAAGGAGTGAACCACCATTCAGCTCCCTCTGCGAGGCTCCATGGTGGTGTCTGTCCAGGGATCAGCTCCTGCCGTCGACGTTTTCGCAACAGGTGCGAGGGTGTGACTAAGCCCATGCTATACAGACAGTTTGGCCACCTAGGCCATCCCAGCTTGCGCAAGATGAAGCATATCTACACACTCCGCCTGGTCGAACCAGGGCCTCTCTTCTTCTTCCCAACCTCTAACGCTCTGCCTGACCCGATCTCCCCAGAATCCAGGGCTCCTGTAAAAGGTGACTCTTTTGGGCAGTGATCGTCTGAGCCACAAGCAGCCGGCCCGCATGCCGCGCCATCCTCGCTGTCCCATTCGGCATTTGTTTCGACTCACTGGCGCCACTTCACCAAAGGACGTGCAAAGGGGAACCCAGCTCGGGCAACCTGCAGCTGCTGCTTCTGATGACATTCATGCACACACATACAAGTACACATATGTGCGTGGCCCCCCCCCCCCCNNAACCATTGGGGGGGGAGGGGGGGGGCAAGGCCGAACCTGGATCATATATGCTAGCCCCTCCCCAAGAACTACCGCGAGGTGCCGCGATAGCGCCACCAATGCTCCTACGTTTAATCTTCTGGTGCATGATCCAGGTTTAACGTTAGTTTTTGAAGTTCCGAGGAGAGAGCATATGTATATCGGCAGAAGCCTTCATTCTGAATTTTTGCGACCCTTCACGCAGACACTCCGAGAGATGATTTCTCCAACGATGAAAGTCATCTGTCAAAGTAGCCTGCAGTGTAGTCCCAAATCAAAGCTCCAGCAATACGTATGAATGACCGTGAGCCGTGACTGACTCCTGTTCCTAAACAACAGCATCCCTAAAACTAACCCTGCCATTAGACCTTACGTTGGCCCCCAATGGTGACAGTAGTCTTCCATTTCATGTTCACCCGAAATAGAGTCCTTCTAGATTCCCGTCTTAGCTCATTTTGATTAAGATGCGATGTCGACTGAACCCCAGTAATATGGACCTGAAGGTTAATATAATAACATACATTAGCCTGATTGGCCCCCCGATAGTAAGGATACTGCAGACCCTTTGGCAACCTGATATTCTGCAACAGCAACCCAAACAATGGCTTTAGGAAAAACCACGACCATCGGTCTCATCAACAGGTTAATTAATCCAGGTCTAGCTGTGGGATCTTTAGCACGAGCATTCAAGTCCCCGAAGTTCAAAGCCATGGCATCCCTAATAATTACCATTTACTGTTGCCTAACATTTACTTCAACGGTAGCCGTCACATTCATGCAAACATGATATTCCACGAAACAACACCCGTTAGAGCCACGATGCTGGCCGTGCTCGCCCCGGCGTTGCCCAAATGATGGCCCTTAAGTTTTAGGGGTGATACCAGCGATTTTTTGTTTTCCTCACCAAATTGTATATGGCCCCCCTTTTCTCATTGTAGCATATGATCATCTCTGACTTGTTACCCGTATGTGTGTATGTGCATGCATGTGTGTATATACACATACTAACCCTCAGGTTAAACCTGTACTAGAGTTACTAGATACCAACATAAGTAATGACGAGGATCGTTAATCGCCTCCTGAATCCAAACAACATCAACCCTAACCCTACCCTTGTCATTCGCCCCTATGTCCATGGCATTCGCCCTGACAGCAGCCCTAAGGCCATCCACAGAGGCTTAGCACCACCCACAGTCTGAGCCCGATGTAGAAAGCATTTTTGGGAGACGGCCAGACTCAAAAAAGATTGTTTTGTGTATTCCCTAGGAAAAAATGTGTCTTCAGTGGAAGAACCAACCATCTTTCGTCGAAAAAAATTGGTGTTCGGTGGAAAAACCAACTTTCTCCTAGGAAAAAGATGGAAAAATAAACTCGTCCTAGTCCTTGTAGGAAAAAATGGCTTTGCGCAGGCAAACCAAAAAAACATCTTTTGGGAAACTAAACGGCCAGACTCCAAAACGATGTTTTTGGTTTTCCACAGGAAAAGTTGGTTTTGGGCAGGAAAACCAACTATTCCTGGGGAAAACCAAAAACAATCTTTTTACCAAAAACTTGTTTCAAAAAAGTTGGCTTTTGATTGGAAGAGTACAGTGTTGCCGTTAAGTGCGTGTTCACCTCGAACCTAAACGAGTTGCGTCGAACCTGAACGAGTTGGCTGGCGCGTTCTGTCGAAATGTGAGTTTGGTTTTGGCAGTCTTTCAGAGATACGGCATCCGGACCTGCCGGAAATGCTGGTTTGACGCGGTATTTACATTACAAACGAGGGTCGGTAGTATGGGGCGATACCGTACATATACACTTTTATACACACACACATATATATATATATACATACATACATACATACATACATACATATCTATGCATAAACATACACACGATACGTATACATGCTCGAAAAACGTAAAACATCCATAAACGCCAGCTGTAGGTACGAATATGCTGTGATGCTGAAGTAATTTACCCGCACTGGTGGTACCGCAGGAATGATGGCCTGCCCCACAGCATCAAGCATTCTCACAGCTACGATAAACCTATTTCGAATGCTAATGTCTACCTGGAACATGCCGTCAAGCTTAGCAAAGCCCTCTCCTCAAGGCCTGGTCAGGTGACCAGGCGCTGGCGAATTCGGAGGAGAACATGTCCATCAAGAACCTCGGCACATGAGAGCTAGCGACAGGAATCGGCATCACACTAAAACAGATCCAGGGGAGCAGGGTGAGAACCAGGGCTCAGATACCTTCTACACAGCAAGACCGTCGTGAACAGCTCCTTCTCCCAGGCTACCTGCTTGAAGTCGAGGCTCAGGAGTGTGATTGGGGATTCGCAGGCACCAGCAAGGTCCGGGAGCAAGTCTTCCGGCCCGGCGGCCGGGAAATCCACTTGGCTCGACCAGGTCGGTTGGGTCTCCCGGAGCTTCCTCCGCACCTCCCCGTAGAGCCAGGAGGATGCGAGCCAGCCCTCTCCATAGTGGAAGGAGGCGACCCCATCACCTCGATATATCATGTCAGGCAGATGTCGTTCGGAAATGCATTGCTCTCTGCACATCTCGACTCTACAGGGCTCACAGCAGAACTCGGTGATGTTACTTTTTGCATCAGCTACAGTGGAAAAAAAAGCCAAAGCTCAAGTCTTGTCGCCAGGGAGGCGGCCCTGGCTTCCCAAACCAGACCGCGTGGAGTGGTGCAGCCGCCGCCGGTCTTCGCACGGCACAATTCTCGGCGTGTTCCAACCGTCCCGCACCGCTCCATCCTGACGCAAGGAGAGTCTCAGGCCTGGGCTTCATTTCCCACGCTTGGAGAAACAGACAAAGCCCTCTAAGTCTCAGTCCTGATACGCAGACAATATCTGCGAGTAGACAGAGGCTGCCTCATCCGACAGAGCTTGCCGGGTCTCTTCTCGCATAGCTGCCGACACTGGGCGCGTCAGAAACTTCTCCTGGTTTCGGAACGTCAGCTGGCCAGCATCGCACTCGAATTCGGCCACGCTTCTTGCAAAGAGCCGGGAAACGAACTCTTGTGGTGTGTCCGAAAGCAAGACAAGCTCACAAAGCATCTTGCCCCACAAGATTGCACAAGGATTCATGTCAAAGAAGTGTAGACGCCTGGGATTCACAGCTGTGAGTAGATTAAGCGCGGTCATCGACCCAGCCACGCTCACTAAACGGTCAATGTCAACGAGACCAGCCCGCAGAAGACTCAAGACAATGTGGAGCATCTCCCCAGGTGGATCCTCAGCTAGCGTGGCACAACATGCTCGAACACTTTGAGGGACAAGCAATGCTTCTGGCATGCACTTCGTAGCAAAGGATCGTTGAAGGCCATGTAGCAGTCAGCCCAACCTTGGAAAGGCCAGGAGACCTCCCTCCAGCCCGGCAGTCCAGCGACAGAGCCAGAGCTCTCCAAACGACACGGCGAGATCCAGCCATGATGCCAGGCTCGCAGAGCTCTACGACGGGATGGACGGGCCACAGCCCCATGGGCCCGGCGAACCAGCATGACCGCCCACTGGAAGCGTGCTAGAGCCAGGCAGCACAAAATCAACATTCCGTTGCCGAAGAAGTCACTCAGTCTCGGCTTCATGATTGCGGCGGCAAGCCATCCAACCTCTCACATCAAACCTGACCCTCTGTGTTGCCTAGTCCCGAAGCTGCCGAAGCTGCTGGACCTACAGTACCTGAAGAATGAAAAGCCATTGCGCACCGCCTGCTTCAGAATTTTGTATTTCCTAACCACGGGACCCTGCCACGGCCAACCCGAACCCCTTAACCCTGAAAGCCCGAAGCCCATGATTTTCCTTGCCTAGTAGAACTCCTTCAACTTGGCACGTGCCTGGGGGCCAGCGCGCTCATGTTGCAAAGTCAGACTTTCAGACTTCGCCACTTCCGAAGCGCAAGCCCTGCCCCCAGAAACCTTGCAAAGGACACCTTGCGGAATGACAATCCGACGGCAGCTCGCAGGAGCTTCGGCCGGGTAAAGCTAAAAAGGTCCATAAACCCGTTCATGTGGGAGAAAAACTGTCCACGGCCTCATGCTCTGTACCAAAATGGGCGTTAGGCGCTAGCGTTTATGTCTGCCACGAGACTTCGAACCCGCCCATCGAGAACACCAAATCCCATTCTCTCCAGACCCTGACTAGATGCACGGACGTCCATGTGTAACTTTCGAAGTTCAAGAGCGAAAAGCAGGCGCAGTTCCATCCCCGATCTTACATCCCCAACTCGCAAGCTTTCTGATACACTGAAGCATAGGAACAACTCTGTGACATATTCCAGGAGTTCTGGTCAGAGGGAGTCCTCCAAAAGAAAGGAAAGACATGAGAAGAGCCTGACCAGGCCTCTGCAGCTAAGCCTTTGAGCCGCAGCGCCTGGAAAAATGTGGTGCGGTGCTTGGCTGGGAGGGCATTGCCTGTTGACTCCGAAAGATCCGATACAAGCTGCTGTCCCAGAAGAAATGGTGTTTCGGGATTCCTGGGCTGAGTTCCATCTCCAAGGGCCGAGCGGATGCACTGCGGGATTCGGAAACAATAGGGATTATAGGGCTGCTGGAGCCCCAAGTCTGCCCACAGTGATGAGCGTTCACGACGCCAGCGTGGCTGAAAGATAGGATTTGAACAGCTCTGCTTGTTTCATTTCGTGATCTTTGGTGCTTCCACTCTGCGAGCTGGGGTTCTCCTCTACGGGTGAGAGGTGGTGGAGCTGGAGCCTGATGTGTCCTGATACTCCCGGAATACTGGTCTCTGACGCTTGGACTTGGGAGCAGTCAGGGCGCCAGGAGCTCCTTCGCCGGTTTGCAAAAGCTCCGATTGTGCACATATCACATGCTCGTAGGCCTCTGTACATTTTTGGGCTCGGGCATGGCGAGAAGCCTCGGGTCTTCAGGTCCTTGCACTTTTGGTGTGAGGACACTGGCTCGTCCCTTAGGCTCAGGATGCTCCCAAGGTACTGTCCGTGGCGATTCCCCTGAACCCAAACTGACCGATTCCTAGGACAGCCACGACACGTGACATGGAGCCTGCAGGTCAAGACCGTGTGCCTCGCATGCCTAACAGTCTCAGTCTCAGGCATCCCCCCGCGCGAGTATCATGTGAGGTCTATGCAAGCCCGTCAGAAAGAGTCGATGAGTAAGCATTGCTGTACACGAGCACCCGCATTTCTGAATGCACATTTGCATGATTGTGTGCGCGCGTGTGTGTCTGTGTATATGCACGCATATGCATATTCGTATGCACATAAATATACATATACAAATATGTATATATATATATACATATATATATATCATGTGCCTGCCCAGTATGCGGTCGTTACAGGTATGTACACCACACACCCCTTCATTTCTGCGCATAGGTGATCATAGGTGCATACATGGAACAGGTTCAGAGCACATGGCAACCTGCGGGTTGAGAGAGGAACAAGACTCCTCGAGTTCGATTCTGTGTGCACCTGTGGTCGTGTCGTGTAACTGCTCCATGGTCAGCGGCCAGCTGGAGGGTGACATTCATGCGATTACTGACAGGTAACCTGAGATCAGTGGAGCCGCATGCTATGGTCAGTTCATGCTGTACCATCATAATCAGATCATTCACCGCAGCAGCCGCTGCGGTCGCATGATCGCTATACCAGTAGCAGAAGCAGTGAAGCTGGTTTGGGGGAAGCGTGGATCAATGCTTTGCGACAGCCGCGTGTGACCGCCTACCCAGCAGTGCCCTCTACTGACGTTGCCTGCGATTCAGCTACAGCATTCAGGGCGGTCCATGTAATTCTTCTGCTGCTGCCACTCATCAGTTATCTTCCTGCCGGTGAAATCTGCTTAAGGTCGCTTTAAACCAACAACATGGAACTGTTAACAGCACGACGGGCCATGACAGAGTCCAAGATAATCTCCGGAATGGCTCCGTCTAGGACAAGTTAATACAAGGCAAACGGGATTCTGAAGCCGTTTGCTCGTGTCAAGAGTGTTCCGTGCTTGCAATCCTGTGAGGGCATCTAGACTGCTGTTTGTCGGGCCACTCGGACTATGGACCACGGCAAATCAATGCTAACCATCACACACAACAGCCATTCAGGCTGGAGATACGGTAAATCTGCGTGCCTTCAGCACTACAAGTATCAACCAGAAGCTGACGTACATGCCTGGGAAGTCCACCCGAACCCCTTGGCGGCTTTGTGCCGAAACCCTGAAACCAGCAGCTACACGACCTACAGCATTCTTAACACCTGGTGGTCCTGCTGGGTAGCAGAAACGAAAAGACTATAAGGCGGCTGCCGAAGACGATGCGGCGTCCAACAGCGTTGCGTTGAACAACCGCGTGGGGCTGCGCAGTGGATGATTTGTGCGGGCTTTGGCGGTCCACGAAACGATCTGAAGCATTTTACCGGTCACGCAGCCAAACCTTCCACGTGCTGCGCAACTTCATCTAATCTCTATTATAAGCTCCTCCACAACTCCAGCTTTCGGTCGAATCAGAAGACCACGACAGCCCAACGAATTGCTGCCCACCGTGCACCTACGTGCAGAACAAAGATGAGGATCAGACGTCCGCGGTGTGGCTGTTCAGTTTTGCCCACTACTCACCAGGACTTGTCTTGCGGATCCTGCCAGGATCGTTGTAGCTCTGAAGTTCAGTTTGGCTGTGGAGCTGAAGCGGCTGTCGCTCCATGGACACTCCACGCAAACTCATGTCCAGGAGAAGAGCATTCTGCAAGCTAGCCCGGGCAACTCCACAATTTTCAAGGGACCGCCTTAAACCATGGCTTTGTAATTACTTGTTGCAGGCAATACCCCTTTGGCACTCACGGCTTGTGTGGTCTAGCAAAAGGATTCTCAGACAAAACCTTGGCCTGCTTGCACACACCACTTCCGCAAGAAGTCGATGGCTACCTGAACAGTCACAGACACAGGAAGAGACACGCCTCTGTGAAGTTGCGGGGCTGAGTCGAGATGGATTTTTGTGCGCATTAGACTTTCCTTGTGCGACGACAGACACTTCAACCAAGTACCTATCCAGCTGGCTCTGTCTCTCCCACCACGTATGTGTCTATGTTTATGTGAATATGAATCTCTGTCCGTATGTATGTATGTATGTGTGGATGGATGTACGGATGCATGCGTGCATGTGTGTGTACATGTATAGACAGATGGATAGACAGATAGACACACAAGACTTGTCTATGTCTACGAACGGGCACCTTCAGCTTGAAGGCTGCGAGTCTCTGGGACCACAAAGCCGAGGCACGAGGTCCGAGGCTTCGAAAATCGTAATACCCATAGGCTCCAAGGTAGTTCCTTTATGGGGTTACCTTATAGGATCCTAAATATAAACCACAAAAAGGAACTACTTTGGAGCCTATGGGTAGTAAGTGGACTGGGATTCGAATTTACCGCAGCAGTGCAGCAGGGGCCATGAAATCTCCGAACCGACACAGTTCAGATTTCGGAGTGGCAGTGCCAAGGCGCACAGCCGGCAAGGATTGCCACCACCACACAGCAGGCCACCAGCGGCTGGATCTCCTCTTTGCAGCTTCCATGTGGTGGACAAACCGAGGCAGAATGATGGGCTTTCTCACCCTACTGGTAGCAGTAGTTCGGATTGACAGGCATTTGTGCCGGCATGGAGCGTAAGCCCAGGCAAAGAGCATCTGCAGGCCGAAGAAGCAAAGAACCACGCCGATGCCATAGTGCAGGAGCGGGAAGCAAGTCAGCATGTCCTGGCTTCACAAGTCTCAGGGCTGTTGCTTGTTCTGACCCTTACACTGACTGAACACTGGGACACGTGAAGGGTGTTCTGCTATGAGCTGCTGGCCAAGAGCCCTTGAGACAAGACAGCAAAACGCCACCTAATGTGTGACTTACTATGTTGCGGTGCTAGCCATGCAGGCGATGGCGACTATCCGCCTGGATCATTAACAGTGGCGAAGCAGCAGTTATCCGATTTCTTGCCCGTTGACAACTTTCTGCAGCCACGTGGAGGGGGATTGGGTGTCAGAATCCCCCTCAGGATTACCAAGCCCGATCTCTCCAGCATTGCGGCTCGAGCCACGGCAAACAATTGGTCCATTGCGGTTATGGGTGGCTCCCCTGCTAGGAACAGTTCATGCAAGCCATTCCCTAAAACTGATATGTTCAGCCAGCCAAGCGGCTTGGCTCAAGGCGAAAAGCTCCGGGATCAGAAATGCCGCCATGGCAGAGGAACTGAAGGCCAGGTAGGAGTTTGGAATCTCTTCCTCAGGCCGGCGTGGAATCGACAAAACAGTTAACGGTTTAGCCATGCACAGCGCGCAGCAGCCCCTGTCTAGCCTGACGAGTGTTCTCGAGCTTTCGACTCTCACTCTCGCCACAGCCAAGCAAGGATTCGGCCGTCCGGAACTAACGGTACTAGATCGCGAAGCCACGGCTGTTGCCTGCCAACCGCCAAGAACACCAGACAATACCATAATCAAAAGGAGCAAGGACGATCACACTACGACTGAACCATTGGACCTACAGGCTTTGGGGATGTTGTCACAACCGTCATAGCCAGGAAACACCGTGCCTGTTTCTGAGCGGCCTTCTCGAGGGTTCCATCGCGGGGTCGAAACTTCAACTATCATGACATTCCACATTGAGCGGCACCCTTACAACCTGCATCTGTAAGTCCATTGTCCGAAGCCAAGTCTCGATTTTCGTCAGAACGACGTCAATGTCCAACATGAAGTCGGCCAGCAGAAGAGTCGCCGTAGCCACATCGAGCACCGACACTTTCAGGTGCTCGTAAGCCTTTACGACGAAGCATCCTCTGGCAGCACGTGCAACTTTACTTCCGCTATGGCCTTGCTGAACATGTAACAGTGTAGCGGGAACAGCCTGGCCGAGACACACACACACACACTCACACAATTCTCAACCCCTGATTTCAGCCGTCCTGTTTCTTGCGGCATGTCCACGGCAATGCGGTTGCCCGTAACATTCCTGCGAGGATGGCCGGCAGCGACGCAAGACTTCCTGATACTTCCTGGCTTGCTTCTCAGGTGCCAACTTCTGAGAACCTGGAGTGAAACCGAAGCACCGCGATTCCGCTTCCTGCAGTATCTTCATTCAAGGTTGGAACCGAAGTCGGGCCTCACCCCCCAAACTCAACGCCAGACCCAGGCCCGCGCGTCCTCACCATATCCGCGGCAGGACTTGCGGACCTCTCCGAGCTGCAGGGACCTGAGCTTCGAGTCTTGGCCCATTTTGCAGCTTCGACTCCAAGGTAGGCTCTAAAGGGTAACGCCAGCACACACAACATTTGCACGTGGACAAAGTCTCAAGGTCTTCATGCAATGGCCTATTTCGGACTTTTGGGTTTCAGGACATCTGGGATTTTGATCTTTGCCTGGCTCAAGATTGCTGTGGCTGATGCAAATTGCAAATAATGCTCTTTCGGGACTCCAGCGCCGGGTCAGGTTCGGTTCAGGAATATGTGCCGGCATTCTTCGGTACGCTTGTCGGAGCTTATGTTCTGCTTCTGACGAAAGGACCCGACAGGAACCAGCATCGCACTGGTCATCCTACCTGCATGAAAAAATGCTTACAACTACAACTCTTATGTTCCCTATAGCTATAGGCCTGAATTACACGCAATCAGTTGTCACTTGTCAAACCCTGATTATTTGGTCATCAGACGCCTTCCTCCTACTGGCTTCAAAGCCATCCAACCATTATCTCCAATCGTTTGTTGAGCGCGCGACTGCCTGTGGGAGAAGCACCTGCCTCCAACACAGGCTCCTCGTGCGAGTGGCTCCTTGCGTTGGTTCGTGACACGTCGATTATCCAGTTTTTTGCGCTTGCTGCAACATAAGCCCTTAAATAGGTGCAACAAGTCTCTAGCTTAAAGTAGTATGATAAAGTAGAATGCAGTATAATACGATAGGCTATATGAAATATCACAGTATGGTCTAGTCTTGTCCGGTCTAGACTAGTCTAGTGTGGCATATAGAAACATATGATACTATGCAAAAACCATGATGCAATTTGGTAGGATACAACACAATAAAACATAGCATCAAACGATACAACATGAGATGTTATGATAGGAAATACTACAATGATATTTTTTGGGTGTATAGTATATTACACTATACAGTATAGCTTTGTGTTATGTTGCCACCTTGTTTCACTTTTTGCTTCACTTGTTGAAACCATACCATACAATGTAATACTATGTTGTAGTATACTCGCCATGCTGTACTATTGGTTGTTTGACACCATAACATAACATATAACGAAACTAAACACCATCGTAAACAACTAAATTAGTCAAAATACCAAGATATAATATCATATTCTGTGATACCATAGCAAGCAGCATAATGGCACATTCGGTTACAATATCTAAATGTATCTATATAGACAACAAATGAACAAATAAATACATATATATATATATATCCATACATATATATATATATACATTTGTTTTAATTTAGAGCATCATGATACAATACGAAAGGAAACAATAGAAGAAATTATCACAACATAACGTAAGCTAAAACCATACAATATACGTAACGAAAATAGAACACACGAGATAATATAACAAATTAACAACAGAATACAAACGTATGTAGTACAATTTTATGAAAAAATAACAAAAGCAGTAGCATCGTATAGCATAGTAAAGTATAGCATAGCATGGCATAGCATAGCCTAGCGTAGTGCCGTGTAGTGTAGTAGAGTGTAGTGTAGTATAGTATAGGATTCTACAGCATCACATAGCACAGCATCGCATCATAATAGTATAGGACTTGAGACCCGCATTCAAGGACTGGTTGAGCCGGCGCTCGAGCTCTAGCTAACGCCTAAATGCCAGATTCTCATGCAAGCACCCTTTTCCACAGGCTTGATTATCAAGCACACTTTTTGAGCACGGGCTTGGATTGTATGCCGGCAAGACGCTCGAGGGCAGGGACATCAAGCACCCTAAACCCCAAACCGTAAGATGGTACCATGATCGGTTCATCTCGGCATGGATCGGTTCGCAAAGCACATTCTGCATTCGGGCTATTCGACTTCGTCTCCTTCCTGGCCCGGGGTCATTGCTTTTGGAAATCCTGAACAACCACCGCCAATTCGACTCTCAATGGACTTGCCGTCCCTTTTGGCCCTGTCAGGCCCCAGGCACAGCACGTAGAGACCGAGGCAAACAAGCCAGGAGCCCAGGAGGTATGGCAGCAGTATCCTCAAACAACTGCAAGAACGATGACTGGCGTGGAGTTGCTTAGAATCAGTCTCTCGAAGCTCTGCAAAACTGAGAATCATACAGTAACTCACTTAGTGACTTAGTGTCGCAAGCGTAGGATTTCCGGCTCCGGGCAGAGTCCGGCTGGCAAACGTAAGGACCCAAGTGCCCCCGTCGACCCATCCGGCTTTGCCTGCGAATGAGAGCATCAGCTTCAGTAACCGCCAACGCACGGCGAAGGACTTTGCAAATACCAGAGGAGCAGAATCACACATCGGCACAACTGAGTCTTGTCAGGGTATAGCAGACCCATAGCAAACAGAATTGCAGACAGAGACAGATAGGCACACGATTGCAATCCTTCCTCTGCAGCAGTCCATTTCCCAATTGCATGGTTGGCTTCTGCTAGAAACCGGTAGCAGGAACGAGCAGAATCATGCCCCCTGGGTAGCTGTGACAGCAACAGATTGATAGCAGCTACAACTCATCAGCTCGCTGAACTGCTGATGACATGACATCTCGTCTGCATCCAGCGGAATTCAGCTAATGAAACCCACCAAACCACATCGAGTCCAGGTCTCCAGGATCTGAGCCACTCGGCCAGGCCCATGAAGAAGACCTTGTCTTTTCTCTAAACCATAACACATCGGCCTCAAGACCTCGGCCCTCAAAGCGAGATTCGATCCAAATGTCAAGCCAGCGGCGGCATCGAAGAGGACCTGACCCCAAGCCACCACAGTCAGGCAGCCCGATACCTTGCATGGAAGGCGCGTCAAGTACTGCGGAGGTGGCTAGGAACACTTGCAGTAGCTGGGGTTGCTGTGGTTCCTCGAACCGAGGCAGATGATGTGAGAAACACCAGGGCAGTCATTCCGGATTTCTAGAAGACTCCAAACTCGCCAAACCTTCTCAATCTATCTGCTTTGACAAGACACTGCGGCCCGCGAAAGCTGGAAGGCCTCTGCGATGGCGTGGAAGACGAACACGTTCCTCGGCAGTGTAGTATGGTCTGATTTCGCTGGCCTTCACTTGAAGATTTTCGGTAGCGCTTGCATGCAAACACTGCAGCAGCTGCACAGCAGGAGCCGAGCCCCAATGCCACTGCCACCAGAAGAGTAAATATCGAACCTTAACCCAAAGCTATAGAGATGTTCACAAAGCCCGAGGTGCTCTGTGAGGAAGATTAGCTCCAAGAGATAGCCCGCCAGCCAGTTTGATCCGTGGTGAGGGCCGCGCACGGCCTCCACATTGATGGCTCTGGTGAAGTTCGAGCAGCTGTCGGAAGGCGGCTTCGAAGCATGATGTAAGAATACGTGCTGCTTAGCGCAACGAAGATAGTATGTAATAGCACGTAGTCCGACGCGTGCACAGGAATCCAAGGTTGTGGCTGAAGCCTTGCTGGTCACTATTTCGCGGTTCAGTGTGCAAAGCCACCGCTTGTGTGTTGAGGCTTTTCTAGGGGTCTGTCTGTGAGTCTGTGAGAGAGGGCGTCTTTCCTTCGCCAGGCGAAGAAGAGTCAAGCCCTGTTTGAGAGTTGTCAATGTATGTGCATGTGCATGCGTGTATGTACGTATGTATATGTATCTGTATCTGAATCTGTATATGTATATGTGTATATGTATATGTATATGTATGTGTGTGTGTGTGCTTGTGTGTGTTTGTTTGTGTGTGTTTGTTTGTGTGTGTGTGTGTTTGTGTGGTTTGTGTGTGTGTGTGTGTGTGTTTTTGTGTTTTTGTGTGTGGGTTTTGTGTGTGTGTGTGTTTGTGTGTGTGTGTGTTTTTGTGTTTGTTTGTGTGTGTGTGTGTTTGTGTGTGTGTGTGTTTTGTGTGTGTTTTGTGTGTGTGTGTGTGTTTTGTGTGTGTTTTGTGTGTGTGTGTGTTTGTGTGTGTGTGTGT